CCCCATCCCTTTACGCTGGGGGCTCCCAGCACCCCCATCCTGGCTCCCTGGGGTCCCAGCACCCACCTGGACCCATCCTGACCCATCCTGCCACCCTGGGGGGATCCTTGTGCCCCCAGCCCCATCCTGGCTCCCTAGGGCTCCTCGCACCCACCTGCACCCATCCTGACACCCTTGGGCCCCCTGCGCCCCCCATCCTGCCACCCCTGGACCCATCCAGACCCATCCAGACACCCTTGGGTGCCCTGTGTCCCCCAACCTGCCACCCTGGGGTCCCTGCACCCGTCCTGGCACCCTTGGGTGTCCTGTGTCCCCATCCCTTCACCCTGGGGTCCCTGCACCCACCTGGACCCATCCGGACCCATCCTGCCACCCTGGGAGGGTCCCTGTGCCCCCAACATGCCACCCTGGGGTCCCTGCACCCATCCTGTCCCCCCTGGGGCGCTGAGCGGCGGCGCCCGCAGGGGAGAGCGTGGAGGAGAACGCCAACGTGGTGGTGCGGCTGCTCATCCGGCGCCCCGAGTGCTTCGGGCCGGCGCTGCGCGGCGAGGGCGGCAGCGGGCTGCTGGCCGCCATCGAGGACGCCATCAACCGCAGGGGAGAGCGTGGAGGAGAACGCCAACGTGGTGGTGCGGCTGCTCATCCGGCGCCCCGAGTGCTTCGGGCCGGCGCTGCGCGGCGAGGGCGGCAGCGGGCTGCTGGCCGCCATCGAGGACGCCATCAAGATCTCCGAGGACCCGGCGCGCGACGGCCCCACCGTCAAGAAGGACCGGAGGAGGGAGCTGTGAGCGCGCGCGGGGACGGGGCGTTGCGCGGGGACAAGGACGTTGCATGGGGACAAGGACATTGCGCGGGGACAAGGACATTGCATGGGGACGGGACGTTGCATGGGGACGGGACGTTGCATGAGGACAAGGACATTGCACGGGGACGGGCCATTGCACAGGGATGGGCCATTGCACGGGGATGGGACCTTGCACGGGGACAAGGACATTGCACGGGGACAAGGACGTTGCACGGGGACGGGACATTGCACGGGGACAAGGACATTGCACGGGGACGGGACATTGCACGGGGACGGGACATTGCATGGGGATGAGATGTTGCACGGGATGGGACCTTGCACGGAGACAGGACGTTGCACAGGGACGGGACATTGCACGGGGACAGGGCATAGCATGGGGACAAGGACACTGCATGGGGATGGGACATTGCATGGGGATGGGACATTGCACGGGGACAAGGACATTGCACAGGGATGGGCCATTGCACGGGGACGGGATGTTGCACGGGGACAAGGACCTTGCACGGGGACGGGACCTTGCACGGGGATGGGATGTTGCACAGGGACGGGACATTGCACGAGGACGGGACATTGCACGGGGATGGGACATTGCATGGGGATGGGACGTTGCATGGGGACGGGATTTTGCCTAGGGATGGGACATTGCACCAGGATGGGACATTGCACAGGGATGGGACATTGCACAGGGACAGGGCGTTGTGCGGGGATGGGACATTGCATGGGGATGGGACATTGCACGGGGACAAGGACATTGCACGGGGACAAGGACATTGCACGGGGACAAGGACATTGCACGGGGACAAGGACATTGCACGGGGACGGGACGTTGCACGAGGACAGGACATTGCACAGGGATGGGACATTGCATGGGGACGGGACGTTGCGCAGGGACGGGACATTGCACGGGGACGGGATGTTGCACAGGGACAAGGACATTGCATGGGAATGGGACATTGCACGAGGATGGGACATTGCACAGGGATGGGACATTGCACAGGGATGGGACATTGCACAGGACATTGCACACGGACAGGACATTGCATGGGGACGGAACGCTGCACGGGGTTGGGGGAGCAGGACCTCCGTGCACACCTGCAAGTGCAAACGTCCTTGTCCCCATTGCCATCCGGGCACCGAGCCCGGTGCTGCGGGCTCCCTGTGTCCCCAACCTGGGCGTCCCCATGCCCGGTGTCCCCTGAGCCGCTGTCCCCGCGCAGGTTTGGCGCCGAGGAGGCGCACGAGGAGAACCGCGTGCACCTGGGCAACGCCATCATGTCCTTCTACGCCGCCCTCATCGACCTGCTGGGCCGCTGCGCCCCGGAGATGCACGTAGGGACACGGATGGGGACATGCACGGGAGGGGACATGCACAGGGTCCGGATTGGACCCCCACATGTCCCCTCTGTCCCCAGCTCATCCAGGCTGGCAAGGGAGAGGCGCTGCGGATCCGGGCCATCCTGCGCTCCCTGGTGCCCCTCGACGACCTCGTGGGCATCATCAGCCTCCCGCTGCAGATCCCGGCCTTCGGCAAAGGTGGGGACACACGGGGACACCGCGGGGGGACGCGGGGACGCCCGGCGGGTCCGTGACGCCCCGTGCGCGCAGACGGGAACATCGTGGAGCCCCGCATGTCGGCCAGCTTCGTGCCCGACCACAAGGCGCCCATGGTGCTCTTCCTGGACCGCGTCTACGGCATCGAGACGCAGGATTTCCTCCTGCACGTGCTCGAGGTGGGATTCCTGCCCGACATGCGGGCGGCCGCCTCGCTGGACACGGTGAGCCCGCCGGGGTCCCCTTGGCCTTGCGGGACGTTCCCCATGGGATGGGCGTTCCCTATGGGATGGGCATTCCCTATGGGATGGGGATGGGGGGATGGACCTGGGTCCTTGAGCCTTGGTGCTCCTGTGGGGTTGGACATGGGCTGGACCTGTCCCATGGGATGGACCTGGGGTCCTGGAGCCTCAGATGCTGTTGAGGGGTTGGACATGGGTTGTCCCATGGGATGGACTTGAGGTCTTTGAGCGCTGTCCTTGTCCCATGGGATGGACCTGGGGTCCTTGAGCCTTGGTGCTCCTGTGTGGTTGGACACGGGCTGTCCCATGGGATGGACCGGGGTCCTTGAGCCTCGGTGCTCCTGTGGGGTTGGACACGGGCTGTCCCATGGGATGGACCGGGGTCCTTGAGCGCTGTCCCTGTCCCATGGGATAGACGTGGGGTCCTTGAGCCTCGGTGCTCCTGTGGGGTTGGACACAGGCTGTCCCATTGGATGGATCTGGGGTTCTTGAGCGCTGTCCCTGTCCCATGGGATGTTCCTTCGTCCTTGTGCCTTGGTGCTCCTGTGGGGTTGGACACAGGCTGTCCCATTGGATGGATCTGGGGTGCTTGAGCGCTGTCCCTGTCCCATGGGATAGACGTGGGGTCCTTGAGCCTCAATGCTCCTGTGGGGTTGGACACAGGCTGTCCCATTGGATGGATCTGGGGTGCTTGAGCGCTGTCCCTGTCCCATGGGATAGACGTGGGGTCCTTGAGCCTCAATGCTCCTGTGGGGTTGGACACAGGCTGTCCCATTGGATGGATCTGGGGTGCTTGAGCGCTGTCCCTGTCCCATGGGATGGACTTGGGGTCCTTGAGCCTTGGTGTTTGGACCTGAGATGAACTTGGGGTCCTTGAGCCTCAATGCTCCTGTGGGGTTGGACACGGGCTCTCCGTGTCCCATGGGATGGACTTGGGGTCCTTGAGCACTGTCCTTGTCCCATGGGATGGACTTGGGGTCCTTGAGCCTTGGTGTTTGGACCTGGGGTCCTTGAGCCTCAATGCTCCTGTGAGGTTGGACACGGGCTCTCCGTGTCCCATGGGATGGACCCAGGGTCCTTGAGTGCTGTCCCCATCCCATGGGATGGACCTGGGGTCCTTGAGTCTTGGTGCTCCTGTGGGGTTGGACACGGGCTGTCCCCATCCCATGGGATGGACCTGGGGTCCTTGAGCCTCGGTGCTCCTGCGGGGATGGACATGGGTTGTCCCATTGGATGGGTCTGGGGTCCTTGAGCGCTGGCCTTGCTCCA